GTTCCTCTTCACTTTCTGGCAAATAGATGGGGAAGAAATGGAGGTAGCGACAGATTTTATTTTCCTGGGCTCCAAGATCACCACAGACGGGGAGTGCAGCCAAGAAATTAAAACACTCTTGCTCCTGGGGAGGAAAGTTATGGCAAATCTAGACAGCATACTAAAAAGCAGAGACATCACCCTGCCAACAAAAGTGCATATAGTCAAGGCTATGGTTTTCCCAGTTGCAATGTATGGCTGGGAAAGCTGGACCATAAGGAAGGCTGAGTGCCGTAGGATTGAGGCCTTTGAATTGTGGTGCTGGAGGAGACTACTGCATGTCCCTTGGACTGCAAGGCGATCAAACCAGTCAGTCCTAGGGGAGATCATCCCTGAGTGCTCTTTAGAAGGCAAGATAGTGAAGATAAAACTCAAATACTTTGGCCACCTAATGAGAAGAAACGTCTCCCTGGAGAAGAGTAATGCTGGGAACAATTGATAGCAAAAGAAGAAGGGGACCGCAGAGAATGAGGTGGCTAGCTGGAGTCACTGAAGCAGTCGGTATGAGCTTAAGTGGACTCCAGGGGATGGTGGAGGACAGGAAGGCCTGGAGGAATGTGGTCCAGGGGGTTGTGGTGGGTCGGACATGACTTCGTGACTAACAACAACAACAACAACAACAACAACAACAGACAGCCCTGAAATCTCTTCAATCTATCTATGGGAATGAAAATGACTGAGCTCCCTCACTAACTTCTCTCTCACTTATGTGGACAGACTGAAGAAACAACAACATGCCAATTGTGGAACTGTTAAAATATTCCCATGCTATATTTTCTGATTTTTAGAACAAACTATGATGATTCAAACATTCGGAAATGTGCTGTTGCTTCCATTTAATGTAGGACAGAATAAAACACAACTCCCAAGTTGTTCCATTGAAAGCAATATCATAGCCAAGCATACAGGTTTGAAATAATGTGACTGTATGAATATATAAAGCATCGCTATATGATCAAGACAAGTGATCCATCTAAATCCATCTAAATTAATATTCTCTAGTCAAACTGAAATAATTTTTTCAAGGTCTCAGGCAGAGTTACATCCTAGTCCAGTGGTGGGGAACCTATGGCACGCAAGCCAAGTCATCACAGCATCACCCCAGCAGCAGAGCATTGGATAACAGTGCATAGAGGGGCCATGCACATGCTTGGAAAGGAGTAGCGGCGCCAGGTGATGACATCATGAGCTGCGACTTTCCAAGCTTTCGCATGGCCGGTCAGTGCACTGCCAAGGATATTTTTTTGGACTGGCTGAGTTGTTTTTTCTAAACTAAAACCTCAGCATTCAGGTTTTATTTCAGTGTTGGCACTTTATGATAAGTAAGTGGGTTGTGGGTTGCAGTTTGGGTACTCGGTCTCTAAAAGGTTTGCCATCACTGTCCTAGCCCTTTGATATCTTTAGCTAGAGCAGTCAGAGACCGAACCCTCTTTGAAGGTGAATTATCTGTCAGCAAAGGAATCACTCGGGTACTGCAAGAAACAGCTGCAGGATGCTTGTGCCACTAATTTCACTAGATTAATCAGAGCTCTGACAATGTTTTCTAGATGTGGCTTAAAAACTTAATAGTGCCTTCATGGAGTCCTGGATGCACCCACCCTAAAGGAGCCCATCTTCACTTCATGCCCAGAACAACAACTCCATCTCTGTTGAGCAGCAGACAGCTTTCGGTCAGCCTCTTTATATTTTCCCAGTGGGAGTATTATAGCTGATCTAAGAAATGCTGGATGTTCCTCTACGGCACAGTGGATAGCTCCTTATCTCACTATGGCCTATTATACCTGATACATTTACAGCAGCAACAAGGAGGTTGAATTCCTCTGTAAGCAGTTCTATGTACTCTACCCTCAAAATAATGTATGCTTACAGAGACCCCTGCCCCAAGAATTAATGGCTGTATTATGATTCAACTTCTCATTTCAATTACACCAAAATGATTCCAGAAAAAGTTAGGTACATTATAAGAAAGCAAATGCCTGTCATCTTGATCCAAGACAAAACCATCTTCCAAATCGTCAGCTGATCTGTACTTCATTTTCTTTTTTATCTCAGGCTCAGCTTCTCCATGCATTCGACGTAATCTGTCAGCCTACAAGGTAAAATATGTTTAGGACAACAGCTATTCTGACTGCAATATGAATAAAACCTTGCCTCATTAATGCTATTAATTGAATTATGAAGACATAATAGCATTCATATATATTCTAGCAATGTTTCCAACAAACTGAGATCTACAGGAATCAAGCAAAATATAACATTTCAGTTTTCTATTTGTCTATTAAATTTGTATTCCACTTTTCCTAAAAGAGCTCAGGTAAGAATTCATTGGTTCATATTAAGTTAGGCCATGTTAATAACCCACAGAATCTTTTCTACCCTCTTTGTTTCTTATGCTGCTTAGCCTGTTCCATGCTTCCTCCCTTCCACATTGGACAGATTATGTCAGCAATGACTTGTTTAATCTTCTGCTTTTGACTAAACAATGGAGTGGTGCTGAAACTACTTTTAACCAGCTGGTCTTGAGCAACTTCACAAAAGAAGAAAAGAGTGCAGCAGGGAGCTGCATGGGTTGAAGGGGAATGTCTCACCAGGTGTTTTGCTATCCATGGGAACTGTACTGGGGAAGCCAACTGTTAAGCACAATGTTGGCTCATTAAATGTGAAACTAACAAGCTGTGTTCATATTATAGCAAAGAAATAAGGTGCTACAAATAATCACTAAACAGGGTTATTGAAAGCATTTTACGATTAAGAAAATTGTAACACAAAAACAGAAAACATACCTCTAACTGTATGAGTTTCTCTTGTTCTTCTTTTGCCAAATCTTCTTCAGTTTTCATCCTAGCAGAGGGTTGCACCTTCATCTCAAAACCCAGTTCTTTAACTATCATATCATATTCATCGGGCTGAAACAAAACAAAACCTTCCACAATAAGTTTGCATGTGAAGAAATCAGAATGAAATGATATTAAGCCTTTTGATTATACCTTCTGACAATTCACTAATAAAAACAAAGGTGAAATACAAGATGAAAGATGGTTGCCTGTGCTTTCACTCTATCCTAACCTATTACTGAAAGTATTTAAATTATTCATATGTAGAAGTTAACTGTTCATTCCACAAATTTTGTGCCAAAAATCTGTATTACTTATGATTGTGATGACCAGTATAAATTGAATGATTGTGGAGATGTATAACCAAACAAATATATCCAGAATGATGAGCATCATGTCCTGTTACTGCAGTTAGCAAAAAAAAAAAAAAAAAAGAAAAAAAAAGTTCATTAGCTCGATCAGTTTTAGTTATTTCTAGGTGAGGAAGAATTTCATATGCATTCTAATAAATCCCACACCAAGAAATACTTTAAACAAAGAACAATTAGGTAGACAAAATTGTTAGCACATTGCTGAATATACACTGGATCATCCAGGACTTCTGGGGGAATGGCGACTTGATGAAGCAGAAGTGAATGTTGCTGCATTGTGCCTTATCATGTCTGGGTGATTATAAATCGCCCTGAGGGGTGTTTACCTCTCTAAATAACAGGTGAGCGTCACGTTGAAGGTGATGCGACAAGGGCTTCGTCCCTCGTCCCTTAGCTGCAGCCCAGGCTGCCTGGGGACTCTCTTCCCTGGTGCAATTTTTAATTAATTTTTTCAGTGAGTGAGTGTTTGTGTATGTTTGTCTGGGGGAACTGGATGAGTAAAGTCAGAGAAAGGTAGTGCAGGACAGACAAGGCAAGGGAAGAAGGTAGGGCCTGCAAGGGGTACGCAATGTCAGGCCAGGGGATGGTCTTGGCAGGAATAACAGGTGTTGCTGACTGCTGTGACACCTGTGACATGTTCGCCCTTCTCCCCCAGGAGAGGCAGGGATACACTTGCCCTTGGTGCAAGCTGGTGTCCCTCCTAGAGGAAGGAGGTGAGGTGTCTGAGTGCCGAGAGAGCTTTCCAGGCTACCCGGGAGCAGTCCCCCTCCAGGAAGAAGGTTGAGAGAGGGGCCGAGGGAGAAAAAGCTGGGAGACATAAAGGCATGTCACCCACAGGAGGAGGGGGGAAGCACAGCCTCTTCCTTCTTCCGGTGCCAACTTGGAGCTGGGAAACAGGCTTTCTCTGCTTGGGGAGGCTGGGGCTGATAAACCAACTTGGGGAAACAACCTGTCTAGGATCCCCAGCCTGGGAGCAGATGCAGCCAGGGGGCTGCTGCAGGAGAGGTGAGGATCAAGGTATGGCTTTCTACCACCACCAGGAAGAGACGGCGGCAGGTGATTGTCGCTGGGGACTCCCTGCTAAGGAGGACTGAGGCAGCGATGTGCTGCCCTGACCTTGAGGCGAGGGTGGTCTCTTGCCTGCAGGCCGCACGCCTATGGCATGTGACGGACAGAGCGCTGTCTCCCCTCCCCCCCCCCCAGAGGAAGAAGGAGGCCAGGGATCCCAAAGAAAGGAATCTGTGGGAAGGAGTTGAGATGCATGTCTTGTACACCAATGCTAGGAGCTTGAGGCTCTCCTGGGAATAGAAGGGTATGACCTGGTGGAGATCATAGAAACTTGGTGGGATGGTAGGAAAGACTGGAATGTAAACATAGAGGGATATCACCTCTTTAGAAAGAACAGGAAGGGAAAGAGGGGAGGGGGCATAGCTTTATACGCCAGCAAAGGGATAGGATGCAATGAGATAGAATGTGGTGTAGATGGGGATCTGGTAGATGCAGCCTGGGTGAAACTAAGGGGTTTTGACAGGGGGAGGGATCTGACAGTGGGGGTATGTTATCACCCTCCAGGTGAACTTGAGACCCTGGACAATGTCCTGACAGACCAGATTTGAAGGATAACTTGTGGGGGGGCACAGTAATTATGGGAGATTTCAATCTCCCAGATATTAGTTGGGAGACTCACTAAGCCAGGTCACATCACTTCCTAGATGCTATAGAGGGAGTGTTTTTCATGCAGAGGGTCCAGGTGATGGGGGCAGAGGGAATATCCTTGCCTTGGTTTTGACCAAGAGGGAGAAGCTGATAGATGGGGTGCAGATTACGGGAACTCTGGTTGCAAGTGATCACTCCATCCTTTGCTTTGAGATCAGGGGAATGGGGATGAGCAGCAGGTTGCGTACCAGATGCTAGGACTTCAAGAGAGCCAACTTTGGCCAATTGAAGGCCAGACTGGGGAAAGTCTCCTGGGAGAGGCTACTTGAAGGCAAGGGAGTTGGCCCTGCTCCATTGAATGCACTGGGAAAATGTGTGAGCCCCCCTACTTCCTCACATCATGGCACTTCACTTATCATGTTTCTGAGTTTGTTATGAAGGAACTTGTATCACTAACTGACAAAAAGACAGAAAACTAGGATAGTATTTTGGTTAAGGAAGCATAAGACAATAAAAAAAGACTGACCTTGAGCTTCTCTTTCACATCATCTTGCACATCTGAACTGGAGGTCCTGCAGAATAGTAAAGTTTGGATCTCTTTCCAATCATTGTTAAGTTTTTCTGTAAGTTCCAATGTATTTTCCCTTTGAATTTTTCTCTCTCTCTAAAAAAGAAAAGGTAAACACTCTATCATACATATTGTCATAGACAATAGGGATGCCATATAAAGTTGTGTTGCAGAGGGAATATGATGTCCATCTTGTGTAAAAAAGAGTCTTAAAATCTGCTGCTGGCTAAAATTTAATGATTCAACTGCTTTTCTACATTGTGCAGACCAAAGCTCTGCATTTGAATGTTTAGATATCTTATATGGGAAAGTGCTTAATGATATTGCCATTTAAAGTCCTTTAAAACTGTCCAGGACTTTAGACTTATTATAATTAATGGTCAGGCCATTCATAGAAAGCGGAAAGTAAATGATTTAGCCCAGTTCTGGAAAGTTACAGTAATACCACATCATCAGCATGCAAAAGTAGTGAGGTATCGTAGTGTTAACGCAGTCTGGGAGCATGAGAATCAATGTAACAAAATTGGAAAGCCAGATCATTTAGAAATTTAGGAGGAGAGCGCAAAAGTTGGCTTGAAGTCGTGTCCGACCCATCGTGACCCCATGGACAACATTCCTCCAGGCCTTCCTGTCCTCCACCTTCCCCCGGAGTCCACTCAAGTTCATACCAACTGCTGCAGTGACTCCATCTAGTCACCTCATCCTCTGCCATCCCCTTCTTCTTTTGCCATCTATTGTTCCCAGCAGTAGACTCTTCTCCAGGGAGTCCTTCCTTCTCATTAGGTGACCAAAGTATTTGAGTTTCATCTTCAGGATCTGGCCTTCTAAAGAGCAGTCAGGGTTGATCTCCTCTAGGACTGGCTGGTTTGATCACCTTGCTGTCCAAGGGACTCGCAGGAGTCTCCGCCAGCACAATTCAAAGGTCTCAATTCTTCGGCGCTCAGCCTTCCTTATGGTCCAACTTTCACAGCCATACATTGTAACTGGGAAAACCATAGCCTTGACTATATGCACTTTTGTTGACAGGGTGATATCTCAGCTTTTTAGTATGCTGTCTAGATTCACCATAGCCTTCCTCCCCAGGAGCAAGCGTCTTTTAATTTCTTGGCTGCAGTCCCCGTCTGCAGTGATCTTGGACCCCAGGAAAATAAAATCTGTCACTACCTCCATTTCTTCCCCATCTATTTGCCAGGAAGTGAGAGGATCAGATTCCATGATCTTAGTTTTATTAATGTTGAGTTTCAAGCCAACTTTTGTCCCCTGCAATTCCTGCAGGAGGACTGAGGCAGAATGCGCAGTTGACCAAGCATCCCATGGTGAACTTGATGGTCTGCCAGGCACTCTATGGGTTGTATCACACAACCCACATTGTGTAGCTTATTCACAAAGTGGGTTATTGTGTTTTGCAAATGAAATTATTATGAGTTAAATTTGACTTTCCATTCACACAGCTGTATGCTTCAGTCATGAAGTTACAGAAATGCAAGTATGAACCAGTCTAAACAGAAATCTAAGTATGAACCAGTCCAAACTGTCAGAAAACCTAACTCTTGAATGGAAAATAACAAGAGTATAAACCAAATCTGTTTTGCAGAGCTTATTTTTTAAAACTTCAAAAGAATTCAACAGCAGTACAGACAATCCATAGCTTACCTTTTCTTGTTTGGATTTTGCTATCATTTCTTCAATAAGGTCCTTCTGAGACTTGGTTTTTTTATCTTCTTCATTTGGTTGCCCTATGGTTTTCTTACAAAGAAGCCCACCACCTCCGAAGTGAGAAGCTGTTAATTCCTCTAAAAATGAGAGTTCATTAAAGTAGAAGATCAATTGAGAATACTAACTCAGTATTGTTATTAAAAGCGCAAGCTATTTTTTTCTGAATAACTGAAACAATTGAGTAATTGTATGTGTGATCTCCAGGTATGACATACACTGAACACTTGAGATCCTCAAGTTTTGAAGTATGGACCTGACAATTCTCAGTGTCCTTTGCGTCCTGCCCACCTGCCTTTCCTGACAGTGCTGGTGCATAAAAGAGAACTGTTGTGATCCACCCAGAGAGCCTTACGGCTAAGGGGTGCAGCATAATACATAAATAAGGGCAAAGTGTCTTTCACCCTGTTTATGAGAGCATGAAGTTTTGATAGCTGTCACAAGAAAGGGTTTTAAAAACAGATTTTCCCCAGAGCTTACCAGGTGTTTTTGACAGGGAAATGTACTAATCTTATGCCAGGAAACGCTGCTTAATGCTGTGATATATGTTCTACCCTCTCCTGCAAACAAAGGGGTTTTTTTTTGAGGATTTGCTTTTCAATTGACCATTTGCTCTATGACAGGTGTCAAATAATAATCAAAGTAACAAAATATTCTGTTTATAAACTTGCTTACTCAAATGTCTATTACTGATATCCACTGCACTTTGACAGCAGACACTGAGCAGGCAAAACTTTGTTCACCTGTAAATGTGCACTTCTGCTCCTGCAAACGACTGGAAAAATATTTGCACACATTTCTGGTGAATTTCATACACACACAAGATAGTGAATCAATGATGGCTGTACCAATGGGCTATCTGGACACTTTCAAAAGGCTATCAGTGAATATCCCTGCCAGAGATCACAAAAACATTGTAAATGGAGAACAAGAAATAAAGCTGTGGCAGTAAGCAGAAGGGTTTTGCGTGGAGTGGGGTGACAAGACAGAGCAACCTGTGCTACCAAGCGCCTTGGGAAATCTACTGGAGGACAAAGTGGGTGAGGGAGATCCACTGTGAGCATGGTCACACTGTAGGTTGGTTCATGCAAAATCCTCCTGCATAGCTTATTTGCAGGGGAGATAGTTGTGTCATATGAACTCACGTATTGTTTACTGGAAGTTTAACTTTCCAAATGAACTAATAAAATGAGATCAAATTTTAGAATTCAGGTACACTGTCCTATTCCTGTTAGGACTATGAGAAATACAAAGATGTGATCCAATTTAGAATGTTTTACTTTTAGAAAACTAAAAATGGTATCCTGTGTTAATTTTTATTTCAATCTTTTATCTTGAAAAAGTTGAGGGAAGAAATTAAAATTCACCCAGTTTAACTTAAATGCTATATTATGCAAACATTTTTATTTATTTATTTAGGAAATTTATAAGTCATCCATCACTGTCGTCTCTGGACAGCTTAAAGAAGATTATAAATCTTAAACAAAATAAATTAGCTATACCACGGAGCATAAAACTGACATATTTAAAATAAATTAGATAAATACATATACAATTAAAATTGAATGACATTAAAATATTGATCAAATAAAAAGGTCTTGACCAGGCACCGAAAAGCATATAATGAAGGCACCAGGCAGACCTCTCTAGGGAGCACATTCCATCGTTGGGGCACCACCACAGAGAATGCTCTCCTCCGAGTACTCTGTCTCCTGACCTCTTTCAAAGAGGGTTCCCGGAGGAGGGCCTCTGCTGTCGATCTCAGGGGGCAAGTGGGCATATAGAAAAAAAGTATTTTATATGAATACTTGTAAAATTTAAAGACAGTAGCATGTATTGCCCTTACATTGTTTGAATTTCAGAAAATAGTGAAAACTCTTGATATGCTAATAAATGTTAGCACTCTGCATAATATGTTGACAAGCATTCAAGAGTTCAGCTCTCCTGTCCTATGATAGTTCACGCACTTTCAGTTTTGTGGTCACTACTTACTGGTACCATTTAAAGTGAGACATATGTAATCTAATGACATATATGCATATTACACATAAATACTAGAGATAATTACCTGAAAAATATTAATTACAACTTTGAAACTTTCAAGTGTGCCTAATATTAATAAGCTTACAAAAGGGAAATTTCCTGAAAATTTTGCATTTTGTAAAATGATCCACCCCAGACATCTATTTGTGTACCACTACACCCTTTTCTTACCTGACAGTGTTCCTCTTTCTTCAGTATCACTGTCACTATCAATAATATCACTAAGTTTCTTGATGTCTGCTAGGGAATGGCCATAATGAGTTAAGTCTTCCTCTTCATTGAGGTTATATATACTTTTTTTTTCATAGTGTTTCTGTAAAAAAATATCATGATTATACTTGACAATTTATAGTTATTATTTACAGAGCATGGGAGGGAAGAAATCAGCTTTTATTGTATCCAACAACTTGTAACTATCCCAATCTGATACTACAATACTTGAGACTGTGGTGTTAAACTTGGAGCAGGTGTAGGCAATCACTGAGGTTGTTTCATTTATACCAGAAAAAGTTAGTTCAGGTTTACATTTTACAACTGTACAAATGCAATTTTTAATGCATCATAAAACTAAACTCAGTCTTTCATCATACCTCTTAGAAGCATTATTTTCAAGATTGTGACTTTATGATATTCTCCCCCCAAAAAATCTAAGAGTCAGACCTAGTTCTCATCACACTAGAGGTTAATTTACCTGCACAATCTGTTGCACTGTGCTGGGAGCCAATTTTGCATGGTGCCTGTGCATACCTGGCTTGCTGTGTCAAACTCTGGCAGCATGGGTTGAGGATCAGACAAATAATAATCTTTAATAATCCAAGGCTTATTTTTGTCTAACCCCTCAAATAGCCACTGGTGCCTGAGTTCACATGATATGGCATGTGATATGTCCATAGGATAAATTAATCAGTAGGAGCTGTCATACATGCAAACCAAATCACTATCTCTTTTTTATTTTCATTTTGTTCACTAGATTACTGCTGTCTGTAACTTTTCACAACTATTGCCTACATGCACATTTTTACATAAGGCAAGCACAACAAAATGCAACACAAAATATCCTGCTAGAGAAAAAGAAAATAGAAAATACATTTTTTATTGTTAGCTTAATCACCTGAAACTCTTAGCCAGGAGTGGCAAAACGTTTTCCATTTGAGGTCCACAATGCCTCTATTCCTGCAGCTGCCAAGGCTACAGCTACATGTGGGTAGAATTACAAATGTTCAGTATGGAACAGGAAGACATAGCATTTGTATGCTATTGTATTCAGGTTTACTGAATTCTTCAATTAGTGTACTGTTCCATCAGGTTTGATGTTAGAGGACAAAATATTAATATCCCAAAGTGGGGCTCATAAACACTGGGGAAGTCCGGATGTTCCAGACAGAGGGTTGGGGACATGCTATGATCTGGAGGTTACTATATATAAATTATACAAGCTTTCCTGAATGTCTCTCTGGTCCTTCCTTTTACAAGTGTCACTCTTATTCCTTTTTTTGCTTGTAAGACATTGTCCCATTTTGCTTTGCTCTTCCTGTATTACAGCTGAGTTCCTATTTTAGGCAAGATGCCTAATTAGTCTTATAAATGTGGCAAGCATGTGTCCAATCAACCTCATATACTTGAATGGATATCACATTTAAAATATGTTAATAAATTGGTAGTTGGTGTCCTAAGTACTGATCAGTAGAGAAAACAGATTTTTGTAAGAACTAGAACTCAATAGTCGCCTCATCTGGAGTAGTGTGTCCAGTTCTGGGCACCACAGTTTAAGAATGGTACAGACAAGCTGGAAAGTGTTCAGAGCAGGGCAACAAGGATGATCCAGGGACTCAAAGCAAAGCCCTATGAGGAGAGATAGAAAGAGCAGGGCATGTTTAGCCTCCAGAAGAGAAGACTTGGCGGGGGGAATATGAGATCACTCAACTATGTGAAAGGTTGCCACAAGGAGGTCATGCTCTCTTCTGGATTATCCCAGTGTGCAGGACATGGAAAAACAGGTTCAAGTAACAGCAGGCCAGGTTACAGCTAAAAATCAGGAAGAACTTCCTGAATGTTAGAGCAGTGCAACAATAGAACTAATGACCTAGGGGAGTTGTGGGCTCTTGCGCACCTGAGGCACTCAAGATGCAACTGGACAGCCATCTGAGAGTTCTACACTGGTTGGACCCAATGGCCCTCTGGCTCCTTCCAATTTTACTCTTCTACATTCTATTGTATAAGAAGTATTAACTTAGATTTGATTAAATTTTTGAAAGTACTCCAGAGATTTTATAAGTGGGAATAAAAAATGGTTAGAGACAGGGGCAGGGGAGCCTAAGACAAAACACTTAGCATACATAACACATTCAGTAAATCCACTTAAGCTGTTTTGGCATCTGCAGCAGAACTTACTTGAAGACTCTCTACCATCCTGGATATACTAATACATGGGGAGAAAGAAGTTCTATTGTTCCTGTGCATGCCTCTTAAAAGACTGATTAATTGACCTCAGAGAGGGAGATAAGGGGGCACTCTGATGGGTGGGGAGGGAAAGAAACTTGAGAATTCATGATATGATTTATCTTGAACTTCCCCCAGATACTCTTTCTCATCCTTTGAAGAACTCCACACTAAAGGGATTGAAAAGATCATTAAGCAAAATGAAGTAGATCAGAGGATGAGGGGACGAATATAGTTTCTACCATTCTGCCAGGTTCAGCCTAGCAGGGCATAGGAATCTCAGAAGCCTCCAAGTTTAGAGGCTTCTGAATACTGAGGGCCCAGTTCACAGGACTGTGCCTCAATTAAATAAGAGTTTGTTACCCTTTCATAAGCCCCAAATCAGCTCCATGAGCGCATAACTAACTTTTCTTTTTTAAGTAAAGCACTACCACACATTACCTGTTGTTCCAAAGAAAACCTCTTCATCATTTTTTCCTCTGGACTTATTTTGGTATCATATTCACCAAAACGTTTATCTTTAAATACATTGGATTTTTCTTTTTCTTTATATTCTTTAAGCAAAGTCTGAGTGCGCTGAAAAACAGACCACCACAAAAAATGATTGAAGGCAAAAGAAACCTTATTATAATTATATTGCATCTACATTCCACCTTTTCCCCTCTTGCAAGGAACCCAATATGGTTTACATAGTCCTCCTCATCTCCACTTTATCCTTATAGCCACAACCCCCCTTTGATGTGAGTTAGTGAGTGGCCAGCCCAACATCACCCTGTGAATGAGGACTAGAACCTGGATCTCCCAGGTTCTCAGTCTAACACGCTAAGCAACATTCAACACAGGTTGTCCAACTGACTCAACTTCACTCCTAAAAGGAACCATCAAGCAATATTTTCATTTGCTAAAATCCATATATCATGTACTGGAATTTCAGTTTTTTTCCAAATGCTCATCTTTCCTAGATGCTAATTTGCTTTCTTCTTTCTACTTTTAATGTGCAACTATTATAAGGATAGAGCCCAATAAGGATAGAGCCCAGTAAGAATTTTACTTGACCCCTAGTATGGCGTCCTCTTGCCATGTTACCAAAATTAAATGGTGCAGAGTTAGGACCTCTGCAGCTGAGCTGTGTTTGTTTTTAGTTTAAATGACCAAATAAGACATCTGTGCCTTACTGCATCATATTAACCTGTCGCATAGTACAAACAGCACTGTTATGTGCACTATCCACAAAAAAACAAACGCACTGTACCATCCCAAAGAACATGCAAGCATGGGGGGGAAGCAATATGGGGTCTGTAGGTATGAAGACATTTTTATTAGCTTTTACCAAGATACTTACTGATTCTATTAAAAAAACATATTTTCTTATGGGGAGTTGCTATATGGGGAGCTTCTATTGTTGCTGAGAACCAAAGATTCAAAGGAAGTGTTTAGTATTAAGAGGCTCAACCTTGCATTTAATTCTCTTGGGCACATTATGTTGGTTGCCATGCCCTCAGAACAGCTCTTTCTCAGTAGTACTTCAGTAGTATTTTGAAATGTGCTGACAAAGTGACCGCCTTCCTCCCCCACAGTAGAAGAATAGAAATGCCTGGTACCATTTTCCAGATACATTCGACAAAACTGTAGCTTGTCTTAGGGACCACCTAATCAACATCAGATAATTAGCCAAATTAGTCAAGGTAACAAATCACCTTAAGATGCAATAATATTATTAGGATCTGACATAATCTCGGTTTTCAATTTGTGAGAAGGAAATAAAAAAAACCTCGGGTTCATGGGAAAGATCAAATGTTTGAATGTCCGCTGCTTTATTGACACAAGCCCAGGTTCCCTGCAGGTTCTACTCACAATAATGCATTACTGGGCAGAGGCAAACTCAACTGCGAGTTTCAATACTACTACAGAGCATTTTATACTCTCCTGATCATGTACACAGGTACAGAGCAATTGATGACAGAATGCAGACATTACAATGAAATTCTGAGGTCATCATATACAGAACATAAGGAAGATCAGCTGAACATAAGTGACAATATTTCTAATTGCATGTATTGAAATTTCAGGTGAGTAAATTCCAGAAACTTGAACCCATCTCCAGTTCTGCTTAGACATGTAAATTCAAGCTATTAAGAAATCTTCCCTGAAATCATAAGCCCATGTGTTACATGCCATTATCAGGAAGGTTGAGACCCTGAGTAATGTATCCACACCATTCTGATTAGCTAGGGTCCATGGAGCACTCTGAGCTAGCAAAATAGATACTTCCTGGTAAACTGTGAATTCCTGCAGAGATTATGCAGCAACCTTGTAGCGGTGATTGAATGGCCTGTCTGCTCTGGCTTACAGCTAGAGTGGAGACGACTGAGGGGGAGCGTGCCATTTTCTTAAGGCAACAGCAATATTAAAAAGTGATCTGGCTTGGAAAGCCGATGTTTTTGAGAAAGAGTGCAGGTTTGATTTTATAACACAAAAGCACATATACGCAACGTTTTTCTGCCAGGATTTATCCAAATTTTCCCGACAGATCATAAGCAATCAAAACAAAGATACCCCATTTATTCCCTCTGGAAGGCAGCAATCACACTTTTTAAGACCCCTGGCCCAGTGAGACAATGTGTACGTGCACCCCGACATTTTTCAATTAAGAAAAAAATGCTGCACTTTACAAAGAAGGGCACATAAACACCTAAGTGGCAAGCACTCTAATTCAGAAGCCAAGCATTTTCTTCCCCCCTGTAAACAGTCACTCGGTCACTCACTTTCTTTTGTGCCTTGGAGCGCGTGACACCTGGTAGCCCCACATCGTGTCTTGTCTTCCGGCCCAAGATATTAAACTTCTGCTTGTTGACCTTCACCTCAAATGGGTTACGCCACACTAAGGCAGAGACAGCATTTTCTTGAGCCCTGTTGGCCATAAAAGCGGAGCCGTTCTTCCTCCGTTTGGATGACCTGGCCATTATCGTCGAGAATACCACTACGGAGCACACTCACTGAACCCCAGCGAGCAAGCACATAGATAATCGTGCAAACCTCTCCCGTTTACAGCCTGCCCGCACGCGTTCGGGAAATCGATATTCACGTGGTCCACATCTTCCGCCTAGGAAGTGCTTTCACTGACTCGCACAAAAACTTTCATCCCGTTGTGTAATCTCGCGACGTCTGGATTTGTTGTGGGGTGGGCAACGCAAGCGGCGGTCACGGATGACTTGTAGGAGTAGGCGAGAGAAATGTGTAGCGTGCGTCATACAGCTATTTTTCTAGATTTATAGCCTCACCATCTATAAAACAGAATGGAAGTTCTATACAACCATCATTTTCGATTAAAGTCCTTCATAGGCGGAGCAAGAGTGAATAATTGAAAACATCGCCATAAAAAGGAACCTTCAAAGACTTGTCTGAATTTTACATGGATTCCTTTTTAAATTTCCACCACTGTTGAGCCATAGGTAATGTTAACTTCCCAAATGGAGAACCGGACGTTCCATGTAAAAAGTATTCGGACGGTGGTCTATTTATCGCCGCGATACACCCAAGTTAATTTTTTCAGAACGCCGCTTGTTAGGCAAAAGTGACAGTTGCATATAGGAAACAATAGATTTCAGCATAACTGTGGCTGGATGGCAGACCCCATCAGAAAATGTAGCAGGAAATGTGTTTATGGGTTCGCATTATTAATTTAAAATCTTATTTCGTGTTATTTGACTTTTAAAATATTAAAATGTGGAAAGCGGCTGCCGCGAAGTCAGCGGAACGCGTGTCTTCATCGTGCGAGTGAGCTTTAAGTTCAGACAGAGCAGGAATCTAAGGGTAAAGTAGATTAATCCCGCTGAAATCTGCGTGGGAGCTCGTGGGAGCTTTTTGACAGAAAATTCATAGCACTGTACTTCTACAGTGCAGCTTTTAAGATGGGTTACATTGCAAGACGTTCTTCCGCCCGCAACCTGCAATATATTGATAACATACACAAAACCTTGCAATATTGTTTTTAAAAGAGAAATAAAATGAGATTAGAATAAATGTCTCGCCCCAAAGAAAGTATAGGAACTTTGCAGGAGAACCTAAAGTAAACAGAATCAAGGGTGGGGGAGGACAAGAAACGGAAACTTCAGACAGGCAGTTAGGAGTGAGAATACGCGAGATAATCCTGCCAATAATTAGTGCCGTTTACTTGGCCGCCGATCTCGCGTGGCTTCAAATCTCGGAAATGAAAACAACTTTTAAAGTCTACGCCCCATCTTTGCGTTTAGGGGCAATGACGCTGCTCTAATTGGTGGCTTCCGCTGCCCTTCTAGCGGGTGGTTTCCGGGTGGGTTCTCCGAAAGTAGGCGAAGTAAAAAGTAGTCACTAACTGAGGGAAGCAAAGGCGCAGAGAGATTTCGCCAGTAACGCCGCCGTGAATGATGGGAGGATTTCAAGATGGCGCCTGCTGGCCGGTTGCGGCTTGAGTGTGCCTCCTTCTAAGCCCCTTCTCTTTCTTTTTCTTGAGCAGTTGCCTGGAAGAACTTGGACGGTGCTTGCTGGTTGAAGGAACAAGAGGAGCGACGACGGTAACTGCAGAGGGAAACAGTTCACGCCCGGCTGTTCGTCTGGGGTGAATGTGAACATGACCACCATGGAGAAATTGATGAAGGCCTTCGAATCCCTCCGCTCTTTCCAGCAGCAGCAGAGTTCTGCTGCCACAGCAGCAAGCTCAGTAGTAACTGTTTCCTCCTCGGGCGCCACCATCCCTGAGGAATCGCTTCAGAGACCGTGAGTGGTGGATGATGGGAGAAGGGGGTAGGAAAGAAAAAAGAGATGAGGGGAACAGTGTTTTTTAACTTCCTCAGCAATGATGACACGCGTGGAGGGCGGTAATTTTCGAAGTGTGTCTCTTTAATATGACGCGTGTTTCCGGGCCATTATGCGATAGTGATGCAGTCCTTCGAAAAGGAAATCGTTCTGCGCTAGCTTCGCACGATAGACCTGTGGAAATCAGCAGAATATAGAACGAATTCTCCTCAAAACAAAAAAAACAGAAGAACAATACCCTACATGTTTAGACAGAAAAAAAGGTCTGCATATTCCAGCATACCCTAGCCAGCATTGTTTTTCTCTCTGATAGTGCATAGAATTGTGTCCCTAATCTTGGGTACACATTCCTTATCATAAATCCTATTGGGACTATATTCTTATGAGAAATTTGATTGTTTCATTATTATTTAATTTTTAGCCTGCCCCATTAGCCACACAGCTCCTTGGGCAGGATACAAACAGTAAATTTCGTTGTGCAAGACTTTGTTTGCTGCTGAGAAACTATTCACATTTTATGGACAAATATTTTGCTATCTATTTTGCTGTCGTTTTTGTATTGCTCCCTGATGTTTGAAAAAGAAGAAAGTGTTTCCCCTTTTCTTCCTTGTGTTTTTGTTCCTCAGATTTTCTGTTGTGTAAAGAAGGGGTGGTTTCCCTTTTCGAGTTTTAGTTTTTCAAGAAGGTAATTGCAACTGAGTGGGATCTTTGTGATGACCTTGTTGAAACATGAAGGCCAGACATGGGTACTGTCCAGATTCTGCTTTGTAAAGTTGGCAGCGTGGAACGTAGCAAAAACATTGAGTTGGAAGTTAGAGCAAAAGGATGCAGTGGGGATGGATGAATCTACACCTTATTAAAGATGATAAAGTGATCTTTCTGTGTGATAGTATGGGGTACAGGAAGCAAAGGCACCTAGGCGGCAATCCTTTGCAATCTTTCCTTAGACTAAGCCCTTTTAAATACAAAGGGACTTATAAATAGGCATACATAAGATTGCACTGCAAGATACTATCAACAATACAATGCTTTTTCCCGCAAAGTGGGTAGAATCCTAGAATAGTATAATTGGAATAAGCCGGACGGTCATTGGGTTCAACCGCCCTGTTCACTGTGAGGCTCTATGTTAAACCATAGTTTCTCTAGGCCATTGGTTCAATTGCTGTACTAACACTCAGGAAGTTTTTTCTGACATTTAGCCAGAATAACTTGTGCCTATTATTCCATGCCCTGCACTCTGGGATAATCAGGAAGAGATTGTGGCTTTCCTCTCTATGACAACTTTTCAAGTACTTGAAGAGTGCTAACATATCTCCCCTCAGTCTTTTCTTCTGGAGGCTAAACATGCCCAGCTCTTGCAATCTCTCCTCATAGGGTTTTCTTTCCCATCCCCAAATCATCATTGTTGGCATCCTCTGAACCTTTCCAGCGTGTCTGCATTTTTTTTTTGAACTTTTGTGCCCAGAACTGGACACAGTACTCCAAATGAGGCCTAGCCAATGCTAAGTAAAGGGAAACTATAACTTCACTGGATTTGGAAATGATGCTTCTATTAATGCAGTCTAAAATTGCATTTGCCATTTTTGCAGCCAGATCACGTTGTTGACGCTTATTCATTTTGTGATCTCCAGCAACTCCAAGATTCATTTCATTTGCAGTATTGTGGGGCCCAGTATGCCCCATCTTGTAACAATGCATTTGGTTTCTTTTTCCTAGGTACAGAATTGTCCATTTGTCCAAACTGAATTCCATTCTGTTGTTTTCAACTCAGAACTTGAACTATCGAGACCACCTTGAATCTTGTTTCTGTCTTCCCCCGTAATAGCTATACCACCCAGTTTTGAGTCATCTGCAGATTATATAATTGTTCCCACTACTTCCTCATCAAGGTAATTAATGCAAATGTGGAAGAACACTTGCCCCAGGGCTGAATCCTGAGGTACCCCACTTGTTACCTCCCTCCAGTTTGAGAAAGTGTTCTTACGAGTACTCTTTGAGTCCAGTTCTGTAGCCAACTGCGCATTCACTGATACTTGTTCCATCTAGCCCACTTTTAGCTAGTCTGCTAATCAGGATCTCATGAGGTACTTTGTAAAATGCTTTGTAGAAGTCAAGATATATTAAGAAAATAAGAACTTAAGAAAAGCCAGGCTGGAACAGACCAAAGGTACCTCTAGTTAAGGAGGTAGCACACAGTCAGCAAGGTGGCTAGCCACTGAGTCTCCTCCTTCACATCAATCAGTCCAATCCCTTTTTAAAGCAATCCAGATTGGTGACCGTAAGCACTTCCTATGGCAGCAAATTTCATAGTTTAACTATATGCTGTGTGAAGAAGTACTTCCTTTAAAAAAAGAAGTAATAACAATACAATCTGATACAAAACTACATTAATACCGAGATGGAGAGAGAGGGAGGGAGAGTGAAAGAGAGAGAAACTTTAAGCACAAAAGTATACCCCCACATGCCAACCTTGGCTACATAGTAACTAATTATTCATTTCCCCCTTCTTTACTTCTTCATCTATACTTCCCCTCTTTCAGGACTACCCTCCTTCATCCAGAACTGCATTAAATCATACGAAGGATTGAAACCCTTCCCTGTTAATAATGCATGTTCAATAAACAACCCCCAAATACCATTAAAATTGTTCTTGTTTGCTAACCCTTTTTGCACCTTAATACTGCATGTCAACTTACCATTAGCAGCTATATTCCAGATTTCTTTATATCATTCACTTAATAGGAAATACTGTTTTTCCTTCCAGTTCGTTGCTATTACTAATCTTATGAGTGTTAATAAATTCTTTAATATTCCATTTCTTTTGATAAAATACTGACAATAATGCAAATCCAGGGCCTGCTTCAATATCTAGATTCAATATTTCACTGACTTCCATAAAAACATTTTCTAGAATTGCATAATATTTTTACATTCCCACCACATATGGAAATAGGTACCCACTTTTTGTCCATATCGCCAACGTATATTGGTTTACCTATTACCCCATATAATGTAGTTATACCAGTGTCAGGTACCATTCCGACACTAATTTATAGAAATTTTCCTTAATTCTAATTGCCGTACTTTTAAATATTCTCTTATTCCATATTTTTCCCAGTCTTCCATGTCTATATCACTCTCTCCATTTCCCATGAAATTTTAAGAAGATCATATTGGTCCTCCATCCCTAATAGAATCTTGTAAATCTCACTTAATATTTTGCATAATGCCTTGAGACTCCCTATACAAGGCAATCTCCTAAAATTTGGTAAAAGCTCTACATGTACCATTTTTCTTCAACCATTCTTTAATTTATTGTTCTAATTACATAACATTAAACCAGGTTAATTTTTTTTACTACCACTTTTATCCTTTCCTTATTATCCATTTTCTCCAACCAGTCTTTTAACCTAAAAACTTGCACTTCCTTCAATACTTTTCTCAAACTACC